GCTGGGGGCGAGCGGGGGCGGCCTCGGCGGGGCACAGCCCGGCCCCGCTCCGCCTGGGGCCCATCCCAGCTCCTGCCGTCCTGCCATCATCACTCCTTACTGGCCACGGCATGCCAGTGTCTCCTCCAGCTGGATGGCAGGCGTAGGTGTGCTGCAAGGGTGGTGGTGCGAAGGGGTGACACGACGGCCTTTGCCAGCGAGCGCAGAGCAGAGGTCGTCTGGGGGCGGCGAGGATCATGATCTTAAAAGGAATAACAGGCTGTCCAGCCTCGAGGAGAGATAACAGAGGGGACCTCGTTGTTGTGAATTAATATCTAAAGGAGGGATGCCAGGAAGATGGAGTCAGGCTCTTCTCAGTGGTGCTCAGCAACAGCAATAGTTCAGCAATAGCGATGGGTAGAAACTGATGCGCAGGAAGTTCCACCTGAATATGAGGAAGATCTTCTTTACTGTGGGAGTGACTGTGCCTTGGTAGAAGTTGACCAGAGAGGTTGTGGAGTCTCCCTCATTGGAGATATTCAAGAGCTGTCTGGACACAATCCTGTGCCATTTGCTCTAGGGTGACCCTGCTTGAGCAGGGAAATTGGAGCAGATGACCCACTGTGGTCCCTTCAAGCTGACCCATTCTGTGATTCTGTTGTTTGGGTAAAATTCATTTAGATGAAATATGCTGCTGAGGTCAGCACTGTGTGTTAAAAGCAGTGCTACCCAGTAGGCTTTCTTCTGGTTTGTTGAAGAGGCTTGGATGTTTATAGCTAGTGAGCTGCAACAGAAAGTGGTTTCTTCAGTGGGACAGGTGGGTGCTGACCTGATGGAATGGGTCACTCAAAGGTCAGCTGACACAGTTGGGATTTTTTCCACCTCTGAAAGAAAAACCAGAAGAGGGAGAAAAAGGTGGAGAGGAAGGTAGGCCTGTATCGATAAATATAAAACGTTACTGTAGATGGATGAGAATAGCTTGGACGTCACAGTTCTTAAAAATAATATGGGAAACACCGTGGTTAAATTTTGAAGTGGATCTAAGTGAGACAGTAGGAGGAATGAAGAAGATAGTAAGGTATTAAGTCAGCAAGGTGTCCTGCTGAGTTAGCAAAACTTTTTATTGTGTTTTTTTAAAAAAATTATTGAATAATAAATTCCGCCTTTGTTTTTTTTGCACTATGTTGGTAATGTTCTTTCCATCTCTAAAACTTATTTATTTCTGCTTGCTCATTAATATTTTCAAATTGTGTTTCAAATTGTTATGTTAAAATGTTTCCTTTTATCACCTGGTAGCTTTGTTTAAGAGTCTTTGGTGAAGAATTTTGTAGAATTATGTTTGAATCATGATGATTCATGTGCTTTTACTAGTGCCTTCAGAGAGCTCCATTTGATCTGAGGGTTTTCATTTTGCAAAGGTGTCAGTAATTTAATTATTTGACATATTTATAATTCCAGCATCTTGTTGTTTGCCAACACCCTGCTTGTCTGAGAATGTTTTTGTCTTTCTAATTGTTTTCTTACCTGATAATGACTTTGTCATTAATAGATAGCAAATAGAAGCCTTTGTTCAGTTTGGGCTTCATCTGTCTGATTTACACCTGCAGCTGTCAGATGCAGCTTGGCCACTTCGCATAAAACAATTTTAGTAAAGTTTTGTGTGCATGAATGGAAGTGGGGAAAGATGGAAATTAGGGCTGAGAAACAGAACAGCAGCAGAGCCACATGTGTGACTTGGTAATCTTCAAGCGTGGTGGGCGGACCCTGGATGGACATCAGATGCCCACCAAAGCCACTCTGTCACTCCCCTCCTCAGCTGGGCAGGGGACAGAAAATGCAACAAAAGGCTCGTGGCTTGAGAGAAGGGCAGGGAGAGAACACTCATGGGCAAAACAGACTTAACTTGGGGACATGTAGTTTATTAACATTCAAATCAGAGTAGAACAGTGAGAACTAAAAGAGAAAAAACAACTTTTCCCCCAGGGTTAACTTTCCTCCTGAATTCTCTAATTCCTCCTGCCTGAGCAGCGCGGGGGAATGGGGGCTCCAGTCAGTTCATCATACGTTGCCTCTGCTGCTCCTTCCTCCTCAGGGGGAGGACTACTCACACTCTTCCCCTGCTCCAGTGTGGGCTCCTCTCATGGATTGCAGTCCTTCTGGAACAGACTGCTCCAGTGTGCATCCCCCACAGGGTGATAAGTCCTGCCAGCAAACCTGCTCCAGCATGGGCTCCTTTCTCCATGGGTCTGCAAGTCCCTGCCAGAACCCTGCTCCAGCACTGGCTTCTCACAGGCTCACAGCCTCCTCTCTGGCATCCACCTGTTCTGGTGTGGGATCCTCCATGGGTTGCTGGGCCACGGCTGCTTCACCATGGTCTTCGCTGTGGGCTGCAGGGGAATCTCAGCTCTGGCACTTGGAGCAACCCATGAGTTGTTTTTTATGGTTATTTCACTCTGCTGTGAATTTAAATTAAAATTTATTTACAGTCTGTCCAAAGTGGTACTCATAATTTGTAATTAAACTGGTTCTATTGTTAGACAAACTTCATCTGGTTTTTTTCCTCAGTTAATGTTTGTTTGGGTTTTTTTTCCTCTCAAATGCTCAGGGGCAGAGCCCTTACACAAAACAGTTGCATATATTAAAAGGACCTTTTGAAATATACCAAGGTTGTATTTTGTGGTTTGGTGTTTTTACCCCTAAACAAAGTGGTAAGAAGGGTTGTTTATGGAATATGCTTGGGTGACAGGTGCATAATGTGATTTTAAGCTTAAAATTGTCTTGGAATAACAAATTTAATTAGCACTTTACAATTTTTGAGGCTACAGTGTCACTTCTCATGTGAATGTGGGAGGCTGGAGCATATTAAAATCAATTTTTCTAGCACTGTCCTTTGTAAAAGATATGTGCACTTTACATTAGTGGCATGAGAATAGTTTTCCTTCTGGTATGTGTCAAATTCTCTCTTCCTGCAGAGTAAAAAATTCCTGTTTCAATTTCCCTTGGAGCCAGAGATGGTTGATTCCTGTGGGTGCTTTCAGATTGACAGGCCTTAAGTGTGTGGCAGCAGAGGGTTGTAGAAAGGGTCTGTTGCAAAGCAGAGATTAATAAGCATACTCCTTTTCTTTCCCTAAGAACACCCTCCTGTTTGCATGCAAGTAATCTTAGGAAGTCTGAATAGGATGCTCCATAAGTGGAAGGTGGCAGATAAACTGGGACTTCTCCAAGTGGTTATGTCTGCTTATCAGTAATGTATGGGGAGAAATAGTTTTTGTGTTCTGAGAATTCTCTCTGGTTGGTGGTAGAGATGAAACAGGATAGACAATGATTGCTTGTTTCTCATGTTTGAGGAGAAGGGAGCATATGAAGTGATAAATTGTCTCAGATACCAAAGACTCATGTCATTAGAAGTTCCCACAAGTAGGAAGTGGGATACATCAGGAAGGTGTGGGCTTTCATGCTTTCGCTTGTGGGATGTCTGGACACCATCTGTATTCTTAAAAACAGATAGAGAATAATATTTAGCAGGAGCTAAATTATGGCAGTAAAATGCATCCAGTGAAACTCGTAAGGTTATTCCAATGTAAACCAAAATTTTCAGCTGAGGTCAGTCTCTTCAAGAGGAAGGAAGTGCAGTAGAATAATTTGATTGAAAATTACGATTATTCATGAGAATCTGTGATTTGAGAACTTTATGCATTAATGGTAATAATTATTAGAGATTAATTCTCTGTAATATTTTCTAGGTTACAATAAGTACTACTGTTACTATGTTTTTCTACTAGGTAATGAAAAGCACAGTATTCAAGTTGCTTCTCAGCAAGAAAATGGTGAACCTACACTACAAGACATGGCTGTACTTATTGAACAAGTCACTGGAGTCCCAGTTCCTTTTCAGAAACTGATATACAAAGGTAACTTATAATTAAACTGCCGTGTTTCTTATAGATGATAAGCTTTTATCTTAGTCACTCTCAGGTGTTCATTTTCTGAATGTCTTCAAAAAGACATTCTTATGCTACTTACTATACTTTAACTGTTTTTTTCCTCTCTCATTCTTCATTTAGGAAAGTCTCTGAAAGAATTGGAACAACCATTATCAGCACTTGGTGTTAAAAACGGTTGCAAAGTCATGTTGATTGGGAAAAGGGTAAGCATTGCCTTTGGATCTTTTTTCCCCCTTAATCTATCATCATTTTTGTCAGTAAGTCAGCTGCTGAACATAGAAACAAAGCTGCAGCATTAACCTAATTTTGTATACCTATCCACAAAGTTGAGTTCAATCTCTTGTTACACTGCATATAACTGCAGTTTGTACTTTTCTGAAATTACATTATTGACTGGCTTCTGCTTTACATTATTGCCAAGACTCTGCCTAATCTGTCATCAGTGCTCATGAACCTCCTTTGTACTGATGACCTTATCTGCTCATTTTATTTTTCTGGTTTTAAAAAAACTTTCCCAACTGTGGCTACTGAGTCTTGATCATCTGAGTTATTTCTGGTGAAATGATTTGTGGGTGGCTTTGCAAGTTGAGGATGAGGTAATAATCTTGTGATGTAAATGTTGCCTATACTTTAGAAATTAAAAATTGACAAAAAGAAAAAAAAAATGGCACTTTTTCTTTTCCCTTCAAACTAATCTCATTAAATGTGTTTATATACATTGCTGATTTAAGTATATTTGTAATTAAGCTTTGGAAGAAGCTTATTTGGTAGGTATTGAGATATGGAAAGAATAGCCACAGTGTAGTGTGTATTCTAAACCTTCAGAAGCCTTTATGTCTTTATCAGCACTTCTGCTTTTTAGCTGCATTGTATCTTTATTTGTTCCTTAGTTGTGAATGTTGTACTTTTGAATACACAGAATAGTCCAGAAGAGGAGGCTGAATTAAAGAAGTTAAAAGATTTGGAGAAGTCAGTGGAGCAAATAGCTAATAAGTTAGAGGAAGTTAATAAAGAGTTCACAAGTATCCAGAAGGTATGCCGGTTTCGTATAACTTTTTATCTTTGCAAAGCAATTTTGTAGGTATGTCTGTTAAAAAAAACCCAAACAAAACAGTTTGAATGTTTTGGAGTAGTCAATAATAGGCTGTCCCTCCTACAAGTCCAAGAGTCAGTAATACTTAGTGAGTTCCAAATGCTATTTATGAGTTTGCTAAATAGAGACATAGCACTGTTTAGAAAAAGGTAAATATTGTTTCATATGGGATAAATTACATTCTTTTTTATCTGGAAAATCTTGGAGTTCTCTCAAAGTCCAAAGAAGAAGGTCTATTACATGTTTATCATTTTAGTAAACCTAACATATCTTGCATTTACCATGTCAAAAATTGATAAAATACAGAAGAATACAGATTAAGATTGGGGTCCCTATCATGCTTGAAAATACAGAAACTGTAAAAGATACTTTCTGCTATTGTGGATTAATGGATTTTCTAAGGTGGGTATTGTGTAGGGTAGGGGATAATTTTGTTTTTTCTTCTTCAGGGATTTTTAGCAAAGGATCTCCAAGCAGAAGCACTAAAACAGCTGGACAAGAGGATAAAAGGAACTGCAGAGCAGTTCATGAAGACACTTGAACAGATTGATGCTATTGTAAGTAACTAACTGCAGAAGAAGGTTAAATCCCAACAGAAACTTACTTGATATTTTAATGTACTAAGAAATTTATTTTTGGCTATCCAAGTGCTTCGCAGTCATTAGTGGATCATAACCTTACATTACATTTCCAGAGTATAATGTACATATTCCTGTATCATGTAGTAGCTGAGAGCTGGATGAGAATAAGGGTCTTGTACAGAGATAAATAGAAGGTTGCTCCAGCCAGGGTGTTTCCTTACTCTGTTTCTCTGTCTGCTGGTCATTCTCTGTAAAGCTCATTATATAATTATGTTGCATATCAAGATCATAATTGCCTGCTCTGAAGGGAAAAATGCTGCTTTTCTGTGGTAGTGGTGTCTTTGGGTCTCCTCCTTGGTACAGTGACCTTTTCTAGGATTTTTTTTTCAGAAATATGCCATGCAAATACCTGTAACTGGTGAAACAAATGAAGTGTGATTTGATGGACTCTTTGAAAAAATTCAGCAGTGTACTAAATCAGAGTAATGATTTGAACTGGCCATCATCAAATGCTATGTAATATGGATGTGTTCCTGGGAATGGTGGGAAGCTTACTAACTAATTGGCTGCTTTTGTATTGTGAGCCTATGATGATAACACAGTCTTTGCTGTGTGTTAATGCCAGCCATTCTAAATACTTTTGTAAAAAATTGCTGTATTCTAAGTATTTTGAAGTCTTCAAATTTCTTTTTCCTTTTGTGCCTCTTGTAAAGGAGAATACTGTGCTGGCAGTTATTGAATACTGTTAGACAGCCAAAGACTTTATATAACTGATTCCCTGTTTGAAGAGGCAGATTTACTACATGTTGTCATGATCCTGATGAATCCAAACTGAATTTCCCAAGTTTACTTTTAACTCTGGTACTTTTTGCGTGGTTTAAACAGAAAGCATGCTGTGATTTATCTCCTTTTCTAAATTGTACTGGACAAGGGATTTTAGGTCTAGTACAATGTTTTTGGTTTTTTTTTACTGAGGATTTGTATTACTGCTTATTGCAGTTACATTGCACATATTTGTTTCTTTTAATATACAAAGCTAGCTGTGAGATTTGTCATGAAAACTGGACTAATGTGCAATCTTGCAGATGAAATACATGTAGGTGGGTGGAATCTTTACATAAAATGTGGGCATTCAGAATGCTGGTATTACACCAGGTCAGATAAACAGGCCACCAGCTTACTGAGGCAGCACTCAGCTGTACTGTGGTTGTACAGTGTATGGAGGCAGCAGTACAGAATGGTAATGAGGGGTGTATGAACAATAAATTAGTTCCACTGGAGTAAAAAATGGCAGATAGAAATGCAAAGCAGTAAAGTATTCTGTTGTAGAATTGGTTTATGTAAGTAATTAGTGTTCTTTTCAGCAAGCGAGTAAAAAGCTAGTTCTGACACATCTGTTAAATGCTACTGAACATACAGAGGTGCTGTTGATTGAGTCAAGAGCATGTTAAAAAATTCTGAGGGGGAAAATGTGATTGAGAAGAATGAATGATGCATTGTAGAAGTCAAACATACTATCAAGCTCTCACTACAAATGTTCCAATTTTTTTCTTTCTCAGAATGTTCACAGCTCATTAAGGTGTCTCAGCTGCTGTGTGTTATTTGGTTCACTCACAACTGTACAGTTAGATGCAAAATGAAATTTTGGTTGGTTACAGACGATAAGGATGAGAAAGCCTGCATATTTTCTTTCTGTTCTAGGAGTATAACTCTCTTGCTGGTAGCAGACAAGCTTATTAATTAGAGGAGCTGAGTTGGGAACTGAACTAGACACCATGCATTCAATAATTGTGAATTTAAAAGATGGAATTTGGAAGGTGGAGAAGTTCATAGTCATACAGTAGTGGTGTGTGAGAGAAAAAATACAGTGTTGTCACTGCCAGAGATGTGAAAGAAAGTTATGAAGTAAAATGCTTTTTGGTAGAGCATCTGTATCTTAAGCATAGTAACATAATTGCAACATAAACGTAAATGTGTTTAAACAGCTACTGCTTTCATTGCCTCTTACAAAATTTTAATTAGTCTGATACAGTCAGACCAGTGCCATTAGCCACAGATCTTAGAAGTTTTCTTCAGGAAGAATTCAATTGAGTCTTGCTCAACACTTGAAGATTTGTGTGTGTGCATTTGCACATGTGCTATTTATTTCATCAGTTAGACATTTGGTCCAGAAATTGAAGTCAAAATACACTATTTCAAATCTCAGTGAGAAGAACACAGGAAATGCTTTACTTGGTCATCTGGCTCAGGTTTTTAAATATCTGAAAGGCTTTCTCAAGAAAAAGCAAAATTTTTCTGAGATCAGTAGGAATATATTAATTCATGGTCATGACAGTATGTACTTGTGAACCAGCTCTGATTTAATGAATGTTTTCTCCAATATCGCAGTGTGAGCACTCACTTTTATCCTCAAGATGGTCTTCTATTAAATAGCAGATTTTTTTCATCTAGAAAGACAATATTGAAGGGAACAGATTATTATAAGAATTGAAAAAAAGCTTTCTCTTCTGAAATACCAGTTACTGATTTTGTTAACATAAGTTCACAACAAATCTGTCAAGTTGCATGTATAGAGGACATTGGTAGTGCTATCGACTCGTAGTTATGCTCTGGTGGCTCATCCTCCTTTCCCGAGGATTTTTTTTTAAATTATAGCTCCTCTGTAGAACTTACTTAAATTACCATGCTGTTCTGATGAAATTTAACTGGCTTCTTGTCTCTGCTATACTTGTCATTGGGTAAATTCATACAAAATTAGTATTTCAAAGATTAAAAGAAAGAAATATTCTGAAAAAAACCCCATCACTGTTCCTGTAACGAACATTTCCCAGACGTCTGGGAAGTTTTTCCACGTACAATAAGATGAGACCCTATTACTAAACTTTTTGATTTTATCTGGATCAATAAAAATGTGATAAGCATTTCCTACTATAATTCTCTAATCTCTTAGCATGAGTTGTAAACATGAAATCAGGTCTTCAGAGCAAGGTATTTCTAAAGCTCAAGGAGCATTGTCATGTGAAAAGGGAGGTTTTCTCCAGCCCTTTCTGTTTGATTTGTGATTTGTGTTTTCAAACAAAACCCCAAAGCTCAGGTTAGCTGAGACCCTCATGCCCCACCAGTCTGTCAATGTTCTGTTATGGGGACCCTTCCCTGAGCAGTCCACTTGATGGGAGGGTGGTTCAGCTGACTTGCTTGGGGTCACATGCAAACAGAGAGGCTCCTCCTGGACCTCCACTCCTTTAATCAGTCTGTTGGTGCCCCAGGCAAGTTTCAGGGACAAGTTCAGGACACAACAGCTTAACAGGGACCTCCCCCTGGGTATCCACAGTCAAATATTTTACCTGCTGCCAGTGACTGTAAGTGCCCTTAAAGGATTCACTTTACCAGTTTATGGAATAACCTTCCTTTATTAATACAATAGAAAACTCTGACAGGATTGCTGGTGGTAGTATCTGGCTGCAAAAACGTATTTGAAGTAATATACTAACTAACCAGCTCTAATCCCCAAATATGGAGTCTTCCCTATTTTTATGCCATTTTTAAGTTACTCTTATACTAATTTTATGTTTACGTGGAGCTAGAGTGTCTAGTCATGCATCATGTTCAGTGTGGGGTGGTTGTACTTTGAAGGTGGGTGATGTCAGTATTCTGAGGTGACCTTTGGGGCTGGAGCTATACATTAGAATTGCATCCAAGGTAAGCTTTGGAATGGAGGTGGGCATCTGTGATCTTGCCATGGTTGCTGGTTCAACAGCAGGAAATCTTTTTCCTTCCTTGGCTGACAGCTGTTAAGTGGCTTATCAGCTACAAGGTACCACCATGTTCCTCCTCTTGCAGGATTTGGACAGATCCTGGCCATGGTGTCTCCAGTCCATCTCTTTTTAGGCCCCCATAGTGTGTATTGTGTGTGGGAAGCTGGGCATGCTGACCACATTCCATCCAGAGAGCAGCAACTGCATTTTCTCCCTATAATTTCCCATGTTGTTATATCTGGGTTGGTAACTTTCCACCCTGCTCCATCCTCCATTTCATCCCCGCTTAGCGTGTATGCTGACTACAGTTTTTATAACTTTCCTACCAAGTTTCAGTAATGGAAACTAGGCTGTAGCTTTCCACTCCAGCTATTATGCTGTTAGGGCCAAAGGGGGAAACAGCAGTTTAGAGAAATACCCCTGAGGAGATAAGGAATGTTCCCATAGGGAGGTGTCATGGCCTGCAGCTCAGCTGAAGTGCCTCACACCAGTGCACACAGCATGGGCAACAAAACAGGAGGAGTAAAATCCATTTGTCTGAACAACAAAATAAAAGAACATCTTTATTTTTTTTGTTTTGTTTGTTGTTTGATTTTTACAAACGTTTATGTATCTAAACCTCCCAGCTGTGCTCGCATTTTGGCTGAAATGAAACAGATAATGTTAGGGAAACCTGTATTCTTGGTCTGGAGTTAGGGTGGAAAATAAAAGGTAAACTAGTGAGAAACTCCCAAGATTTTTATCTGTCTTTACCAGTGAGAACCCAGTGTTTTTAAGAATGTTCACATAAACTTTATATAATGATAATAATCTGTACAGGTGTTTTACCTGTTTAAAAAAAACAAAACCCATAAACCTGAGCACCATTCCTCAGCAGCACCCAAATTTCACATAGCTCGAAAAGGACAAAGCATGTAACACTGGCCAGGATGACATAAATGAACGTAATGGGTGGTAGGAGTACAGAAAATGATGCAGTTTGAATTAAGTTAAAAGCTGACATTGTGTAACTTCACATCTGTTGCCTTCCATGAAAACATTGCGGAGATGCCAAGTGGTTGAGTTAATGTATTTGTAAGAAATTTGTTCATGTTATAATCTCTGAAAAAACCCCTGAGGATGAAGCTCAGCTGAAGAGTTAACACACACCACGGTCTGTTGTTGTATATTCCCTAAAGAAACATGGTAGATTTGCCAGCTCTGTTCTTTGCAGTCAGCATGCTGCATCCCTGACTTTTTAATAACTTTTTCTTTCCTGTGTAATCACCCTTACTGAGTGGGCATGGCATTTTCAGGATGCCTATTCAGAAGATTCTTTGATAACTCCAGTTTTTGCTGTAAGTCTGATATGTACATTTCAGAATTAACCTTCATCAACTTGTTTGCAGAATTTACCAGAGAATTTCAGTGACTGCAAACTGAAAAAGAAGGGGTTGGTGAAGAGGGTCCAGGTGAGTTTTCTTGATTGTTTTTGGGTTTTTTTCCTTTTTTTTTTCCTCCGTGAATGCTGGGCACTTATATACCAGGAGTTTGTGGAAATGAGCTGTTCAGAGTTTTTCAGTGTTTGTTCTTACGTTGGTATTTTGTATGACTTCCCTTTGAGAGGTATTTAATAGCTTTATAAAACAGCACACAAAATACAGATTTTCATAGTTCATGCTGTTTTCAGATAATGTTTGTCATTTACATTAGTGGTTTGTCTTACGGCTGCCTGACAATGTGAAGTAATCCTCATAACTTGTAAAGACATCAGGATTGATCATTCCTCCTTTTTTGAATCTTGGAGGACTGGAGTAATGATTGAGGTCTGGGCACAAGGATGCAGTGAACTGGACCTCCTGCTGACCTACTCCTGACCTTGCCAGAGGTGTTCTTTAGAATATTTAGCTTCTATTGCAATGCACCAGCTTTCTTCGGAGAGTAGGTCTTTAAGATCCGTACAGCAGAGTAGCTGTGCTGGGGATGGAGGGTTTAATTGCTGTGCTATGGTATGATCCTTGTAAATTCCTAGACATTGTTTTCTCAGAGACCTTGAACTGAAAGTTTGTTAATAAATACTGGAATTCAGCTCCCTCTACTTAAACTTGCATAAATGAATGGTGATGCTACTTGTACTAGTGTTTTTATTTGTACTGTGTCAGCTTTAGTGCCAAGTTGGGCTCCTAAAAATTGTTTGTGGAAGTACCTTGCATTCATATATAGAGTTGAATGATTTTTTTCTTTTACTGTAACCTTATTAAACACTTCCTATTGATGTTTCACAAGTTTTTTAGAAAGCCCACCAAGAAGTACTTCTTCATAGGAGAAATGGTTTTAGTTGCAGCTTTAGGGACAAAGGACTTTGTACTCAGTTATTGAGATAAATTCAGTTAATGCAGATGGAAATGAAGGTGGTTGCTGGTGTGGCTGTGTTATGTGGAGGTTCTGAACACACTCTTGATTCCATGTGCCCAACCAGGGCAGCAAAACTTGTAATAGGCTGGTGGCTACCAACTTAGTAGAAGCTACTGGATCTCTGCTCTTGGGTGAAGTTACAGCAGAAGTAAGTGGGGCTTTGTATAAGAACTGCTGTTAAAGCATAGAATAGGTTCTGTTGAGCAGAGATCAGAATTACTTATGTGCTTTTATAGGCACAGCATTATGCAGCTGTGGGTTATGAACCCTTTGAGGACTGCAGAAGAATCCTAAGGGGTTTCAGATCAGAGCTGTCAACAACAGTTTGTTTTTCCAGAGGAAGAACAAGAAAACAGTGGCAAGTTATGCTTGTTATTCTTAAGTATCCATGAAAGCAAGGGAGAGCTGTTAACTGCCTTCTACTGCTGGCAGTCCCACATCTTCCAGGGTGCGGAGATAAATATGAAACAGTAGCAGCCAGCAGCTCCAGTTATTACCACCTTCACTTTTTCATTACTCAAGTTCTTACAGACGTGAGTTGATGACAGCTCAAGGGATTGGTTGGAAACAGATGATTCCAAGCAGTGTGATGATTGAGGAACATTCACATGGCATAACAGTTTGCTGCTTTAGAAGGAGAGCACTTTCTTAGTATCATTTTAATGTAAATAGCATGAAATATCTGGTTTGACTGTCTGAGTCTGTTACAGACATAGCAAAAATGAAGGCAAGGTGCAAATAGCTAATGGGAGAACCTTTCTCAGAAAGTGCAGTGTACTTGCATACCTTGGGGTTGGCCTAAAACAGTGTATTGGTTTAAAGTGCTGGCATGTTGTGCTGTGTACAGCCCAAACAAAGTGACCAGGGGCTGCTGGTACACCCAAAAAGGACTGCCCTTTTTTGGAATGGGGCCTTCTGTATTTTGAGGAACACCAGCTACTGATGAAGATGAAGGTTCAGTGGTGCCTTGTAGTCTTAAGAAGTAGAAAAGGTCTTGGTTTAATGAAAGCTTGTTTTACATTTGACTGAGCAGGTTTGTCCCTCCCAGCCTTGGCCTCTGAAGTATATGTTTTGGAAAAGAGCTTAGAAGTCACGTTTCAAACTGAATGAAGCACTAACTTGTCTGAACCTTTATGTTTCCTCTTGTTGTTTATGAACTTTGGATCAACTGAAAATACATCAGCATCAGGACTGGTGATGGTGGGCAGCCATGCTACTATCCTTATTAGCCTTATCCAGTGTCATGTTTCTGTTGGATTCTGTGTAAATGCAGGTGTGCATAAGCTATTACCAAAACAACTGGAAAGTGGTTGTTGAGTTGACTTCTTCAAACTCATGATAGAAACTGCACTTCCAGTTCTTCAAAAATACCTCCCGGTGCCAAACTGTATCCAATAACATTTGTTTGCTTTTTATTCTCAGGTTTTTCTTGCCCAGTGTGATACCATTGAAGGGAATATTGGTCAAGAAATGGACAAGCTACAGTCAAAGAATTTGGCACTGGCAGAATGAGGCATCGCCTTACATAATTAGGAAACATAATTGCTCTATGAGCAAGAAGAAAAGTTTGCTCTTTGTTTTGGAGCACATATCCAGTCCAGCTTCCTTTTTTTTTTTTTTTTTTTTTTTTTTTTTTTTTGGTCTTTTTCCCCCAGCCCAGTCTGTTAGACTGGTACCAGTCAATCATTTCTTGCTGGTTGTCTTGTTTGCCGCTTGGTTAGAACTAATATTTTGAAAAGAAAATCCTTCCTGAAGAATGGCTGAACTAATCTTTGTGAATTGTGTATCTTATGGATGATAAAATAGTTTAGTTACACTAAGTTATGAAGTTTTCAATGGTGGGCAAATGTCTGATATATCTTTGAATTTATTTACAGCTCAAATCAAAGAAGGTCTATAATCGTACAAGTGCCGTAAGTTGCAGTTGTAGGACTTCAGCTTGATTGAAAAAGGCAAACTGAGACAACATCTGGGAAAGTTGAACATTCTAGTAGACAGTTCAGAGCAATAAAAAACCCCTACGCATTTGTATCTACTTAATGTTTGTATGCATTTATAAATATAAGAAAGCTTGACTATAAGGGAGTCGTACCTATTTTAGCCTTAAATTGTCATAATAAATGGAATGTACTGTAACATGTATGGTACTTAATTTTGAGTGGTGCTTTAAGTTGTTACTGAGCTCCTTGATACAGATGTATGTTTTTTACACAGATTTCTGATGTACTGTGGTTTTTATAGATTATTTGTATTTTTATTATTTGTGTTCTGTCTTGAGTTATGTTGAGAAATGAAATGGGATTACTCATGCTGCTCAAATACCAAGGGTTCAGTTCAAGCAAGGTATAACTAAGAAGCTGTTTTGAAAGTTTTTTTATACTTTTTTCTGAATTTACTGAACTCATGATGCTATATTTAATGGGAAAATGCAGTGATTATTCCAGTATGTTAAGGCAATCAGTGAATTTTTATAACATGTTGCAAAGAGACACAGGTTTATTTTAGCAATGTCGTCTGTGTGAGGGTTATGACTGAGTCTCACGGTCAGATATGTGCCGTGCTTAACCTTCTCTGTTAGGTGAGAAGTCAGCTTTTCCAGGAGACAGAAACTTTGAGTGGGTGCAGCCAGCTTTGCAGTGCCTGCTCAGAGGTTCTGAGCAGACTGGAGCGTGTCAGCCTGTAGGTAACATAAAAGTACAGGAGCTGCTTTTTCACTGATGCTGCTCCTTGGGAGGTCAGCCAGATACACAGCGGCTGGCGAAGCAGGGACTGGTAAGGAGCCTCTTTCTGTGCAAGAAATAAACTCTTCATCCCAAATGAGTCAGACTGAGAATGTTTAGAATTGGCCCTTAAGTAGTGAGCCACTATCCATATGTTCTAAGGTTAGCTGTCCTTCAAGATAAAAATAGGAAATGTATGTAAGAAGATCTTGACTTCTGATAAGTTATAAAACTTAAATAATACCTGAAGTGTTATTATTACAGTGTTGTCTTTCATGTTCGTAATTGGAGGAACGTATTTTTTTTTTTTAGTGAAAAATGCCATTGAACAAATGAAGTGATAGCTGTGCATTAGAAAGGGTCACTTGTATTCTAAAAATGCTGGTTGACCATACCAAGATTTGAATTGACATGTTTTTTGCTGTTAACCAATTACTCCAAGCTTATATTTTTTCCTTATGAAATTCTCTTATCAGCATCTGCGGGGGATTTCATTGTCTAGACTCCTAGGAAACTTATCTGTCATCTTAGGATTTGGTATGGTAGGACTGTGGAAGTTTTTTCCAGGCTAAGTTGTGCTGAACTTTCTCAGCACTTTAAGGTCAGGAGGAGGAAGCGTTTGTTGTAGGCATTTTTTTGAAGCCCAGCCTAGCCTGTGGCTGCTTCTGGACCAGATTCAGCTAACTCTTAAACCACCAGCAACACATGCCTAATTCAGGGAATGCAAAATCAACCACTTTCCTATGACGGAAAGGATCCTCACCCTCCCAAATGTGAGTTCTCAAAGGAGTTGAGCTTTCACAGGTGCACGTATAATAAGCAGGTATCCTTTGCCCATGGAGAGAACTGGGAGCTGTGGTCATGGCTGGACTGTGTCCATTTCTACTGTTCCTGTGTAGTTTTCTCCTGGGTGAGAACATTAACAGGCAGACATTGTCTTCCCAGCAGTCTTTCCCAGAAATTGCTGCTTCCTTAGATGTGCTTGTGTGAGTACATCTTCAGCCTGTCTCAGAGCAAGGTGGATTAACTGCAGGATGTTCTGTAGCAGATCTTTTGATGGTCTGGTCCTTTGAGGCAAAGAGAGTGAACCTCTCCCACCAGCACATCTGTATTCAGCAGAGGGTGGGTGTCCTGAGCTAAACTTACCTTGCAGTTCTAAGTGGTTTGGTTTCTAGGACAAAAGTATGTGTATGAAGACCAACTTCTGCAGCATAAATTGTTTTGTCTTCCAAATATAAAAATGAGTTGATTTGTTGTGGAAAACAGTTGGCTGTATTTAGAATTATCCAAGACATTCTAGAGTGAATTGAATTTAATACTTAGTTTTGGAGAGGGAAGTTGTAAACTTTTTTTTGTCATAATAGCCTTAAATTCAGTAAAAGCAAGCGTCTGTGCTTTTCAAAAGTGCAGCAGACTGCAACTGTGGGAGGAAGGGAAAGGAAGAGGCAATTTAAAATATTCTTCAGAATTTGTAAATATAAATAATCAAGCTTAAGCTATAGTCTCACTGATTCTGTAGTCCAGGTGTACTGTGATACCTGTTTTGCTACTGAATCGTTTCCTCAGCGCAACAATCTGCCATGATCGTGTCAAAACAGAAGTTACTCCCTTTTGCCTTAGTTGCACTTATCCCATCGTCTTCCTCCAGTTGCTGTGTTGCTCTGGCTGTGTTTACACACCTTGGACTTGCCATCCTGGCAAAATGTACCACAGGATTTGTCTTTTATCAAAATGGAAATTGAATTGCACACGCCCTTGGCCCGTTTTCTCTCCCAGATCCCGTGGGCTGGTGTGGGATGAACCAAACCCAACTCAGGGAAATGTGGAGTCTGGAGCCATGGGATGGGTTGCTCTCCAGAAGCAGCACAAAATTACAGTGGCATCCTCCATGACCAAGTCCTCTGGAAGGTAATGTCGCTGTAAGCCTGGAGCAACACTTTTTCTAATGGACACTCGTGGTTTGGAGTGGAGCACTTGACATCGTGGAAATTGGCACTAGATTTGTTTTGGTTTTTTTTTTTGTTAACTTACATTATTGTACTGTGATAAATGAAAAGATAAAAATAAAACATTGAAAGTTGTCTGCTGTCCTTGGTCACGTTGTAGTCACTAAATTCTGTATTTGGGCTGTATTTCAGTGGGGAAGGCACACACTGCTCTAGGTGCCGTGTGTGCTGGTGCAGGGCAGTGAGTGGGGCCTTCCGCAGGGTGCCGTGATTTGGGGCCTCCGGTATCCCATTGGATTGACAGCGAGACAGAGCTTTAAAAAAGCTGGGTTGGTAGATGTTTTCTTTTGTTTTGCTTTGTTTTATTAAAAAAACAAAACAAACAAACGAACAAACTAAACCAAAAAACCACAAAGTATTTTACGCAGTTGTGTTGCACATTGTGCATTAGAACAGGTTGTCCAGAGAGGGTGTGGAGTCTTCCTCACTGAAGATATTGGAGAACCATCTGGACACAGTCCTGCGCCGGGCAGGCTGGACCAGATGACCCACTGTAATTCCGTGTTTTCTGGATCTGGATGTATGGGATGTAATGTGTATTGGTTTTTACTTATTTGGGTGGTTTGGCGTGAGGAGTGGGATACGTTTCAGGCAGTTTATTCAGAGACGTGTCCCACAGCTGGACTGCTGTGTCTGTCGAGCCCTGTCGGTGCTCCAAAGGCTTGCCTAGGGGACATCCCGCGGAAGGTGACGAAGGACACACACAGATCCATCCATCCCTCCTCCTTCCCGCCCCCGCTCCCTTCCCGGCGCGCTCCCGGTGGCGTCACGGCGCGCGCCGGCTCCGCCATCTTCCCCCGGCGCGCGGGGCGGAAGCAGGTGCGGCAGGAGGAGCTGCG